GTGGACACGGGCTCCTCTCATGGGCGTTCCCAGAGCGTGGTGAGCTCCATATTTTCAGAGGCCTGGAAGAGGGGTACCCAGATTGAGGAAAACTCAAAGGTATGAGTTTCAGCGTGTTAAAGTCGCATGTTTGCAGGAGGATGTGTGAGTCACGTGACAAAGCTAACACTCGCTCTGTTCTCCGCAGATGAAAATGGAGGCATCCAGAGGGGCCACGCTGCCGCACGGTTCCCACAGCCACCGGCATCACAGCCAGCATTCAGTTGACCACTCAGCCCTGACGCCGCCTCCGCAGCAGCCTCAGGCGCAGCCTCCATCACGGCCTCAGTCTCAGCCCCACCCCCAGCAGCAGCAGCACCCCCCACAGCATCAGCACCCATTGGTGCAACCCCAGACGCCAATTCAGCTGCAGCACCAGCACCCGCCTCCCCAGTATCCGTCTCCTCAGGAGGCAGTGACGCCACCGCCACCACCACAGGCAGCACCACCGCCACCGCTACAACCACCACAGTCTGCTCAACTACATCAACAGCAGCTGCAGAAGCAGCAACAGTCACAGGCCTTCAGCAACTACAACCACATGCCCCCACAGGAGCAGCAGCAACCAGCTCCCGCACCCCCTCCACCTCCGCCACCTCCACCACCGCCTCCCCCGCCCCCTCCACCAGTCCAGACGGTGTCATATCAGTCGCCGGCTCTCACAATGTACAAGTACAGCACCATCACCAGGCTGCAGAACCAGAAAGGAGGCAAGATACCCTTTCACCTCCCTGCTACAGCCCAGCAGGTTCTGCCCACGACTCTGACACCACCTGAACTGCAGCCCATCAAACCAAACGTCAATCACATTGCCGCAAGGACTAATGTGCCCCCGCCTCCTCCACCACCACCTCCCCCACCACCGTCCATGCCAACCCCCGGGTCTGCCATGGCTGTGCTGAAACTGGGCCCACCCAGTCCGGCTACTCCACCGGCTTTCATCCCTCCACCGGCTTTCATCCCTCCACCGCCAGTTCCTCTGCCTGCTCCACAGACCAATGGAATTGCATTTCCTCCCCCTCCGCCGCCCCCACCGCCACCAGCTATTGCAGCTGCTCCCGTGAGTCAGCCTGTCTACCACAGTGGACTCAAGCAAGCGCTGAAGGAGCGGTTTCCCAGCCCGCCGCGGGACCTCCCGTCTCCAAACGGCGGGCTCGAGGATTCCCCACCACCTGCCCCAACACCACCACCCCCGCCTCCTCCACCTCCGCCACCGCCGCCACCACCACCTCCCCCTCAACAGTTCCAAGTACCGGCCCAGTTTCCACCTCCTCCTGCACCCCTGGCAGCACCACTGAAAAACTTCAACCCAGGCTTCCTCCCTCATACTGCCCCCAAGCCCATGTCCCCAGTCTCCCCTTTCCCTCCTGCCCCGCCTCCTGCTACAATGAGTTGCCCGACCCCAGCTCCACCACCACCCCCTCCTCTACCTGCACCCCTTAAGAAGCAGTTCAG